TGGATGTTCAAGTCCTGTTATATATATAATCATAGTAAAATGGTGCCCCTTGTATAAAAAATTGCAAAATCAGGGTTAGGCTTTTGGAATTTGGAGAAAATGAAATCATATGAAGAGGTTATAACAGAAGGAAGAAGTTTGGGGTCCATGCAAGTGGGAGTTCAACTTTTTGGCTTCGTGGTATACCATATGTAAACTGATACTTTTTCTGTCTCTACCTTTCCCAGGTCATCTATTACATTACATTCTACATTTTGGTCACCTACTCAACGTCATAAGCAGATGTATTCCTTCAAGATTGTGTTGAAATAGGGTGGTGTCAAGTAATGGATGGCTGGAGATGTTATGCAAAATGGTGACTGTGGGTGATTTTATAAGGGAGGTTGGGAGAGGAAAAAAGCAATTCCTGGAGAGTAACCATCTTCAGGAAAGGGAGACCACAAAGTCACTGGATCAGAGAGATCAGAGTGAGATCCACTCACTGTGGAAGCCTACAAAAAGTAAATGCATTCATTACCATTATTGCTCTAGTATCCACACAAAGTCAGATTTGAAAGTTGAGATTTCTGTCTGCTCAGCTTTTCATATTATTCCACTTTAACAGCTACGGCTGCATCTTATACAATCCCATGGTTTATAGTTTGGAAAGGCACTAGAGTTCTCTAGCAAAGAATTCATAATAGTCCTTCCATAAACTACAAATCCCAGGATTCTACTGGATGTTGCCATTGCATTTGCAATAGAATCTGAGCACTATAGCTCTGCTCAGGGTCATTGATTCTTATGCAAAAGACTAGATTTGTGAAGTTTCTGAGCACTCTGATACCAATTCCATCAATTGCCCTGATATTCCTTGTTTTCATTTTTTAGGAATCTATTATTGAAGTTCAAAGGAAATTCTAGCAGGGGCGTCATGCTGGAGATAATGGATTTCCCCTCTTTTTTCCCATGCCTGCCATAGCTGGGACACAGCTTGGAATTGATTACTTGTGAATTACAGTTTCCAGCATCCTTCTCCCAGTGGCACAAACAGAAATCTGAACTGGCTAATACATGGCAGTGCTGGCTGGGGAATCCTGAGACATGTATTCCAAGCGCAACTTTTCCAAACACCGTTCCAGCTACAATGGCCATGCATTTCCTAGAATGGTTTACCTAAAATTATTTTTGCTTGGGCCCCATAAAACCCTCACAGCTCTGTTTTAAGTAGTTTAATTCATAAAGAGTAAATGCTGTTCCCCTGTGTCTGAGTGTTGTTCTTTATTCGTTCACGAAAATGAACAAAATCTGGCTATCAGTATTTAAAAACTGTAAAATTATAACAGCATTTGAATTATAACAGCTAACAGCATTTAAATTATAATAGCTAACAGCATTTAAATTATAACAGTTATCAGTATTTAAAAACTCTAAAATTCTAACAGCAAATAAAGAACAACACTCAAACACAGAGGAACTCCAGACAAGAAACAATCAGAGACAGTTAATCATCTCTCAACAAAGGATTCCCCCAGGCAGTACCAAGCTACACCTTAAAACTGTTAGGCCATCAAATCAGGGTGGCCAATTGAAACATTCACACCTACCTCCAAAAGACAAGAGTTATTTCTTTCAGCCCGGACTTTCCACAGATATATAAATACAATTTTCCTAGTTTCACAGACCTCACAACCTCTGAGGTCTGCCATAGATGCAGGCAAAACGTCAGGAGAGAATGCTTCTGGAACATGGCATACAGCCTGAAAAACCTGCAACAACCCAGTGATTCCGGCCATGAAAGCCTTCGACAATACATCACACAAGGTTGAAATTGTGAAATGTACCTTTCCTATCACCAATCCCCCTCTTTCTCTGTAATTGTGAAGCATCTTTGTTGATGTCTGGTGATAGCCAATAGCTCCCCAGAGCTCTTTTGTCATCTGCACTGGCAAGTGGACAGCAAACTGACTCACATTGGAGACCATCTGCTGTAGTGTTTACACTGTGCCCAAACTGCAGGGCTGATCCACAGTTTTGGTAACACTCTGGAGTATTCTCAGACCTTGCTGAATGCAAGGCTAAACCAGTTCACCTAAGTTTACCCTGAGTTGAGGATTAGAAGTCCCTGGATGTTTAGTGTCGAAGGCTTTCATGGCTGGAATCACTAGGTTCTTGTAGGTTTTTTCGGGCTATAGGGCCAGGTTCTAGAGGCATTTCTCCTGACGTTTCGCCTGCATCTATGGCAAGCATCCTCAGAGGTAGTGAGGTCTGTTGGAAATAGGAAAATGGGTTTATATATGTGAGGAGAAATGCCTCTAGAACATGGCCCTATAGCCCAAAAAAACCTACAAGAATCCCTGGATGTTGTTTGAACATAGAGTGAGTTTTGGTTAACTTCCAATTTTACGGCCAGGGTCAGCAAGTTCTTAGACAACGAGTAACGTCAGCAAACATTTTATTTCTATGTAGTTGTCAAAATATCAGTTTACAAGCTAGGAGAAAACTAATCAAGTACATATGATGGAGTAGTTTTTCTGGGGAAATAGCCATATACTGTCTGGCTTCTTGTATCACATAATGAAGTTCTAGCCATTTTAACATCCCATCTCTCTACAAGTCTGAGATAATAAATACGTTTGACTCCTATATTCATGCTAAGAAACTCCATCTTTGTTCAATTTATTGCATGCTAGAACGTGACATAATTAGCATTGTCTTGTAGAGGGGACAAAACTTGCAAACAATTGAAATAGCTTCAAAGGCCCAAAACAAATTTCCAAGTGGAAATACTGTTAGCATAAGAACTGGACTTTTCTGGTGTGAAAAATTAAATATGAGTCTGAGCAATCGTTTAGCCAGTGAGCTTCATGACCTTGGGTGACAAGGGGCCTCTTTTCTGAGCTCTCAGCTTGAGGTTGCTGGCAAGTAGTCACTGTCATAGCTGGTTTGGGTAGGATGAAATTGTCTCCAGGAGAGAAACAGTGTGTAGCTTGTATGCAACTCACAAAGGACAGAGAAATCCAAGGGTTTGCAACCTATTGTCAAAAGGAAGCATTGAAGATCTGCAAAAAGGTGTACTGCTGCCTTTTGGGAAGAATGGAAGCTGTGCTGAACCTTTACCCCCTTGGGCTGCTTGCATCTTCCCTCTTGCTCAATATGTATATTTATAAATAAACAGATTGTACAAAGGCACTCTAAGTCTCTAGTCTTTCTTCCTGTTGAGAGGAAAAGGTAGGAATCATGGCATTCTCGGTTTTGGACTACAAGTCGGAGCACTCCTCACCATTGGCGAGGGTACCCAAGGCTGAGGAAACTTGAAGGCTAACAGCATCTGGAAACTTTATCTGGTCATGACATCCAGCCCTTACCCTGCCAGTAACATACTATAGGAAAACAGAAGACAATTCTGGCCTTTCAGATGGTGCTGAACTCAAATCAGAGGTAGCTGGCCTTATCAATGGCGAAGTATGATGTGACTACATTCAAACAAAATCAGAAAGTCCATTTCTGACACAGGAAGAAGATTAGATTAGAGGCCCATCAGATTATGCATGCAGTGCTTAGAGATGTTAAATTAAGGAGCATATACACCAATAGCTTGGTTAAAGAAATTAAGCTTTATTGTAGGAGGTCCATTCTAAGATGGGAAGGTTACTCAGGAGCTGATCTAACCTAGCTACATCTTCGAAGCTTGAGCGAGTATTCAAGGAAAGAAGAAGAGTTGGAGTATTTCTAAGAGTATCAGTTAACATCACTGAGAGGTCAAGGTAGGAAGACATAGAGCAATGGTTCTCAACCTGTGGGTCCCCAGATGTTTTGGCCTTCAACTCCCAGAAATCCTAACAGCTGGTAAACTGGTTAGGATTTCTGGGAGTTGTAGGCCAAAACACTTGGGGACCTACAGGTTGAGAACCATTGACATAGAGGGAGACACTTCAGGTCACTCAGACTATCCAACGCTATCTCTCCTGCCCAATGTGAGGGATTCTTCAATCTTCATAGAATCATAGAGTTGCAAGAGATCTCATGGGCCATCCAGTCTAACCACCTGCCAAGAAGCAGGAAAATCACAGTCAGTTCTAAGCATTGTTGTATTTCCAGCAAATTCAACATCCTGTTTTCTGGACTGGCTTGGTACATGCCTCCACACGGGTAGAAGAAACATAGTCACATGTCATCACCATGGTGAGTCTCCCATATCTGAATCCTGAAACCCACCTTAAAAACTAGGCAGAAATTAGCAAAGCGGGCCACTGAAGGATGATGCACCCAGCCCCCTTCTTTTTAAAAAGGTTTTTTTATTATGCTATAAACACAAATCAACAAGCCAAATTCCAAGTGTTATACATATAAATCCTGAGTAATTCAACAAATATTAAAGACATTATGGTAATTTACATTGGTGTAGATTACATTTTTCCCACCCTCCCTCTCCCTCCCTTCTCACCACAGTATATTTCTACTAATCTTGCAGATCCAGCCACTGGTAAAGTCTTTGTATTTTTTTTTCTTTGATGTGATTGTTGGCTCCTCCATTTTTCACCCAGTTGAAGTAGACCTTCCATCTATTTGTAATGACTTTTTCTTTGTCCATTCTTGGTGCTTGCTTAGTCATAATTCCAGTAATGTATAACAGCACTTGATCATACATATAATCATTCCAATTATTTAACATCCATTTCAATTTGTCTTTCAATCCTCTAGCCACCCAGCCCCCTTCTACCAGCTATAGTGTGAGGAATTGTGAGAAGACCCTGAGGTGGTCCCTGTTTCTGACATTGCACTGTGGCTCACTGGTGGGAGTGGCCTAGACATATGATCCTTCGGCACCCTGCTTTCTGGTACTGCAGAATTCTTTCCCTTGATACATCTGTCTAGATTTTAAAGTGGGCTTTAGGGGCCTTCATGATCATGCCAATGGTACTGTCATGATAAATGGGAATGGGAAACAGCTACAAAGTCATAACTGATTAGTAAGGTGCTAACCAGTATTTATGATTATCCATCTCCACTTCAAAAACAGGTTTAATGACAACTTGGAAACATTATAGTGATTAGTGAGACTTCTGTATAGTTTTTCACTAGTATTAAATCATCTCAAAATATTGCAGAGGAAAAATGCTAAGCAGAATATCGAGGGGATGAATTATACATCATTGCAGGAGGATGCCTGAACTTCATGCAGTAAGGGACCTAGAAAAAAGAATACAAACACTTGTAAAGATACACAATATACCACACCTGGAATATTGTGTCCAATTCTGGGCACCACAATTCAAGAGAGATGTTGACAAGCTGGAATGTGTCCAGAGGAGGGCGACTAAAATGATCAAGGGTCTGGAGAACAAGCCCTATGAGGAGCGGCTTAAGGAGCTGGGCATGTTTAGCCTGAAGAAGAGAAGGCTGAGAGGAGATATGATAGCCATGTATAAATATGTGAGAGGAAGTCATAGGGAGGAGGGAGCAAGCTTGTTTTCTGCTTCCTTGGAGACTAGGACGCGGAACAATGGCTTCAAACTACAAGAAAGGAGATTCCATCTGAACATGAGGAAGAACTTCCTGACTGTGAGAGCCGTTCAGCAGTGGAACTCTCTGCCCCGGAGGAGGCTCCTTCTTTGGAAGCTTTTAAACAGAGGCTGGATGGCCATCTGTCAGGGGTGATTTGAATGCAATATTCCTGCTTCTTGGCAGGGGGTTGGACTGGATGGCCCATGAGGTCTCTTCCAACTCTTTGATTCTATGATTCTAAGTCCAGCGAGCAATGTTGTGCCATGGATCAATAACAACAACAACAACAACAACAACTTTACTTTTATACCCCACCTCCATCTCCCCTAAGGGACTTGGGACGGCTTACAAAAGAGACAAGCCCAGGGATCACAAAGTTAAAAACATAACACAACAAGATAGCATCAAAACAAAACCAAATGAAAACATATCACAATAAAACATAACATCATAAAAACAGTACCATACAGAACGATAGAAGTGCTGAGTTCAGAGGGCTCTAGGTTTGTGTAAATTCCTAGACAGAGTGAAGGGAAAGTGCAAAATTCAGAAGGTAGGGTTGGGAGGATAATGTTCATGGGCATTAAAATGTCAGGATTGTAAAGTGGATCAGATCTAGTTCTTTATGTTTTCCCATTTTTGCAAGGATTTTGTGCCCTTAACACTAGTAAATGTGGGGGAAAGACTAGCTATATTTCCCCATCATTTGATACTCAGCATTCCTAATGTTACAGAGTTGTCTAGTCCTTGAAAGACTAGCTATATTTCCCCATCATTTGATACTCAGCATTCCTAATGTTACAGAGTTGTCTAGTCCTTGAAGCTATTGTACAGGACTGAACTGCAGCTTTTCTAGAGAACAGAGAAGGGTATTTTGCTTTGCATGCCTAGAAAAAAAAACCACACTCACAAGAATGGTACATAGACCCTACCGGCATTCAGTTAGTCCAGCCCCATGCCCTTAATACCACCTAGTTGTAGGATGAACACCCCTCCCAAGACCCTTTTGAAATTGCAAGTGAAATCAACTGCCATGACAAAATATTTTGAAATTATGGGATTTAAAGTTTGGTGAGGTACTAGTGCCTTCTGGCCAAGCAGGCTAAAGACCTTGAAAAATTACAAATCCCACAACTCCATAGCATTGAGTCATTAATTCTACAGTGTTGATGCACTTCCATTTGTGAAATATTGGAGGATATGCAACAAAATACTATTCTGTACAATGGTATTGGAAAATTCAGAGAATAAACTGTCCAGATCGGGCCATTCTATCACTTACCAAAAACAGGAGACCGACAAGCGTAAAAAGGAGGAATGTTGTTGTCAAGCAAATAAGAACTGTAGCCCATGCTGGGAAACCATCACAGTCCAGGTAGCATGTTGCAGGATTCTCTGGAATGGATTAATATTATGAATATGTTTCATTCAACTTCGTGTCCAAGTGCTAAAATTAGAGAGCATTAACAAATCCTGCAACCCATGTGGAACCTTCTGGATGCCTTTCAATTTGTCATTTTGGCTCTCAATTTTCCCTTAGGATTGCTTCCAACTGTCAGAGTTTTGGAACTTTATATCATTTCTGAAGTGACAATAAGTGATTATAAGAATCAGATCCACTCCAGCAGCAAGCATTAAGGACTCAACCACCTGGCTAGCACTAAGTACTGTATATACTAGAGTACAAGCCAACCCGAATATAAGCCGAGACACCTAATTTTATCACCAAAAAAACTGAGAAAACAGATTGACTCAAGTATAAGCCGAGGGTGGGAAATGCAGCAGCTACTGGTAAATTTCAAAATAAAAATAGATACCAATAAAATTACATTAATTGAGGCATCAATAGGTTAAATGTTTTTGAATATTTACATAAAACTGTAATTTAAGATAAGACTGCCCAACTCTGATTAAACTATGATTCAAACCTTCTTCAATGTAAATATGCTTAAGTATCCTTCCAATAATAATAAAGAGAGTAAAATAATAAATATAATAAAAATAATAGAGTAAAATAATGGAAATGTAATAATAACAGTAATAATAGAGTAAAATTAAAATGTAGTAATAATAATAAATATAGAACATTAATAAATGTAATAATAAAAACAATAGAGTAAATTATAAATGTAATAATAATAAATTGAATAAAATAATAAATGTAATAATAATAAATAGGGTAAATAATAAATATAACAATGATAATAACAACAACAACAACAACAACAGAGTAAAATAATAAATAACCTTGACTCAAATATAAGCCAAGGGGGAGTTTTTCAGTCTGTAAAAGGGGCTGAAAAACTGTATATACGCAAGTATAAGTATAGGCTTAGACTTGACTATATACAGTAATTTACAGCCAGGGGGGAGTTGCTGAAGAGTAATAAAGAAGCACAAGCTTCTCTGTAGTTAAGGAGTAAGAGTTGTGTGAGTTGGAGGTATTGAGCTGCTGGAGATACACAGAGATTGAAGGATCAATGAAGATCAGAGAGAAGAGCTAAATACTATGGTGAAGGTATGAACTCACTGGGAATGTAAAGCGTAGAAAGAAGGGCTGGAAGAGAGTCAAGAAACTCTGCTAGGCATTTGTAAATACAACTGTATTACATTTTCTACAAAAGATACAAGTTGTAATTGTCTGCTCCTTAACTGGAGGGGAAGTGCTTCTGCTGCAGAAGGGAGTAGGCTTGTTGCTGAACAAAGAACCCCAACAATTTGCTGTGACACCAGCATTTGCAATGGCAGGGCCAGGACGAAATTAACATAGGTTTTTCGGACTGTATGGCCATGTTCTAGAAGCATTCTCTCCTGACGTTTCGCCTGCATCTGTGGCAGGCCTCAGAGGTTGCGAGACCTCACAACCTCTGAGGATGCCTGCCACAGATGCAGGTGAAATGTCAGGAGAGAATGCTTCTAGAACATGGCCATATAGCCCGAAAAAACTTCAACAACCCAGTGATTCAGACCATGAAAGCCTTTGACAATACAAAATCAACATATTTTCACAAGTAAAGTGAAGTTCTACTCAGAATGAGAAAATCATACATTTTCTTTCTCCTTACCTTGAGGATCGGATGAAGGCTCTCTAAGTGTGGGAGTGATGGTGGTATCTTCCTGGCCTGAGAAGCTTGTTTTCCCAGTAATTGTACCAACAGGACTTTCTGTTCCTAGCATTTGTTGTGTACTAACATCTTCCTGATCAGAGAGGGGTTGCTTGGGAAAATCAAACATATCCATAGTCAAAGCTCCATTTTGGGCTGTAGTAGTTTTATGAGCCACCATTGTTGTGTCTAATATGGAAGGAGTCTTTGCAGAAACGGTGTTGATAATATTTGGGGGAGCATTTTTAGTGGTATCTTCAAAAGGAGAGGAGGAGGCACCAAGGCTGGTTGTATTAAGGACAAAAGACCCTCCTGAAATAGTCCCTTGTGTGGTTGTATCAAGAATAGTTGTGTTAGGGGCTCCAACGATGGGCAAAGGGATTTGAAGGCTAATAGTGCCACATCCTCCAGAACTGAGTACGGTCTTATCTGAAACAATCACTGTTGCAGCAAATGAGATTTTGTATCCTTTAGAGATGGCAGTTACAGTATAAGTCACATTAGTGTCCATTATGCATGGTGGAGGGTTTGTTTTCATAGCTGCCGTCTCACCGCTGATGCTGATGGGGAAGGTTGACTTCAATTCTTCAGTTCTTCCCTCTGTGATCACGGGACCTATGGGTGCTGGAAAAGTGATAAGCAATTGTATAGCAGGCCATCCACTTTTGCAAGGATTAGGGAGGCAGGACCCCTGTTAATGTGCAAAAACTATAAATAAAAAGCATATTATTATAATATTATTATTATTGCCCAAGAGAACACCTCTCTAGGTCTATCAGGGTGACTTTATGGACAACCTTTGGAAGAAGTTGAACAAACAGTTACCATGGAAAAAAATCACCCTAATTACTTGATGCTTCCTTTGAGAAGAAAATTAGCAAGGAATTATACCCCAATTAGGAAAGTGTCCTACCTGCTTCTGCAAGACACAGGATGGCTGGCAAGATGATTTCCCATCTGGCAACCAGAACAGGCTCCATTGTAAGGGCTTCTCCGTCGCCCTGCCAGCTGCCAACTGCAGGAGATCCAGGGACCAGATGGGATGGTTTTACAAGCAGAAGGGTGCATGTGGTTGCCAGTGAACCAGGGGAGTGTTTCCAATAAAAGATGGCAATTCTTGTGCACGTGAAACCGTGATGGGGATGTGGAAAACTATAGCTGCTAAGGGTAACAAAGGGCTTTGCTACCAATCAGCTTCCAAAGCCAAGTTTTCCCATTTTGATGACATTTTTCTCTTCCTCTCTCTCTGTTTATTCCATCTCTTACAAAACATTTCTAGGAAAGGCAAGAGGAAATCTGATGTTTCCAGAGATGTAGGAATAAGAAACCTTAAGGGCCCCCTTCTCCTTTTTAAAATTTACTTTAGATCCCCCCCTTCCTAATGTTTAGGTTCTTCCTAATGCTTAAGTTGGATCAGTTTTCCTGCAGTTTGAATCCACTTCTCCTTGTTGTAGTCTCCAGAGTAGCAAAAAAACAAATTCGCACACATCTCAATATGACATCTTTTAAAATATTGGTATCTGACTATTGACGTCCCCTCGCACTCTTCTCTCAAGTTTAATAGACCCAGCTCCCAAAGCCACTCCTCAATAGGCTTTGTCTATGTATGAGTATTCCTGAATGCCAGAAGAGGGTAAGATGGGTGGGTCTTTGTGGTCTCTTCCAACTGTGATTCTCTGATTCTATATTCATCATCACTACTTTTTTAAAATATATATAACATAACAGAATATATAATATTAAACAACATATAAGGAAAACTGCCACAAAAGAAACAAAATACAAATAACACTATGGAACATGATTTTTATTCCTGGATTATAAGCGTCATTTCCTAATTTGTTCTATCATTAAAAAATATGGGAAACGTTTATTAAACTGCAAAAACTTTGTATTGTCGAAGGATCTCATGGCTGAATCACAGGGTTGTTGTATGTTTTTCGGGCTGTATGGCCATGTTCTAGAAGGATTCTCTCCTGACGTTTCACCTGCATCTGTGGCAAGCATCCTCAGAGGTTGTGTTCAGGAGATTCTACCTGAACATTAGGAAGAACTTCCTGACTATGAGAGAGTGTGTTCGAAGTGGAACCTCTATACCTACCCCGGAAGTGTGAGTGGATCCGTGCCTACCTCTCTTTGGAGGACTTTTAGCAGAGGCTGGATGGCCATCTGTAGGGGGTGCTTTTTCCTGCTTCTTGGCAGGGGATTGGACTGGATGACCCATGAGGTCTCTTCCAACTCTAGGGTTCTATTATTCTCTCAGGTAAAGAAAAAAACAAGAAACAGCAATATCTTTATTCACTTTCATAGTGATCTTGTGTGTCCTTAACCACAGCAAATGTGGAAGGCTAACTGTACTTCATTTCATAGTTGAAAGGAAGCACAGAAGCCATCTAATTCAGGAGTTTTTATACTTTTCCCACTCATGACACTTTTTCGCCCAAGAAATTTTTACAGGCCTCCCAATATTTTTTAAATAGGTATGTAATTCAAACATTAGCTGATTGATATTTATTTCAAAACAATACTGCATAATTTTTATCATTTATTAAAGACAAAGGTAAATTTGCATACTAATGAGATGTACTACATGTACTTGTTCATTTTTACCTAAAGAATTAAACCTTGGTGGAATATTTGGGACTGCAGGACATAGAGCATTTTCAGTGTCTTTCAGAGTTCAGAACACTGAACAACAATAATCATAACAATAACAATAACAAGCCATTTCCACATCCGATGAAGATCCGGATAGTAAAAGGAATGGTATTCCCGTAGTAACCTATGGATGTGAGAGCTGGACCATAGGGAAGGCTGAGCGAAGGAAGATAGATGTGTTTTTGAACTGTTGTGCTGGAGGAAAGTTCTGAGAGTGCCTTGAACCATGAGAAGATCCAACCAGTCCATACTTCAGGAAATAAAGCCCGACTGCTCATTGGAGGGAAGGATAGTAGAGCCAAAGATGAAGTACTTTGGCCACATCATGAGAAGAAAGGAAAGCTTAGAGAAGACAATGATGCTGGGGAAAATGGAAGGAAAAAGGAAGAGGGGTCAACCAAGGGCAAGATGGATGGATGGTATCCTTGAAGTGACTGGCTTGACCTTGAAGGCATTGGGGGTGGCCACAGCTGACAGGGAGTTCTGGTGTGGGCTGGTCCATAAGGTCACGAAGAGTCGGAAACTACTGAACAAATGAACAACAACAAAATCTCCCCGAGGGGATCCCAGCATATATACAGGTACAGGCAAACATTCAATGCCTTTGAAACACAATGAAGTACAAATATACAGACAAAGGCAAAGGCTTCCCCTTTCATCTCCGGCTCTAAAGGTGGTGCTTCCAGAAGCAGGAAGGAGTCGAATGCTCTCATGCTCTATTGATAATGATGTGCCATGGAAACCAGGATGTTGCACCTCAGTATAGCTTCACCTTGCTCAGAACACCACACACACCAAGGCTGTAGGGTTTGTAGTTTATTAAAGAAAAGGCAAAGTCTTAAACACAAATGTAAAGTTGCAAAAGTTCAAAGGCAAAATCCATGAAGCATAATCCATAAGCATTGATCAAACAAGATTCCATGGCAGCATGACAGAGTCCCAAGAAACCAAGGTCCAATTCAAAGTCTCAAGAAGCCAAAAGCATTGCCCAAGAGCAGAGGCAATCCCGAGAAGTTATCAGGGTGTTCGCTGAAGTTGCACTGACAAAAGGTTGCCTTCAATCAGCTCACTAAATATACTTTCCCAGCATGAAAGCATTCCTTTGACCTCTAACCTCTCTCTTGTTTGCAAGCCTTGTACTATGGCGAACCCTGAGTTGCAAGCGACCCTCCTTATCTAACTGTGGAGAGCCTTCAGGGTCAAATAACTCATTATCCTGGAGCTGGGAATCAGCAGCCTGAGAATCGGCAGGCAGAGAGCTCAGAGGCTGCCTCGCCTCCTCCACCTGCACCTGTGAAGTTTTACTAAGATCAGAAACATCTTCTAAGACAACATCCCTTCCCATGGGAAACTGGAACTCCTCGTCTTCAGCATCAACATCATCTATATCAACAATAGGAACATGTTCAGGGATCTGAAACCCATCATCCTCTTCCAGCTCCTCCTGAGGCTCCTGCTGAGCCATAACAGGAGCCTGCATTGTCCATAGATACCTCCTAACGTAGCCGGCATGACTTCATGACACGCCCTTTTACCTTCCCACCAACACAGTACCTATTGATCTACTCACATTTGGATGTTTTCGAACTGCTAGATTGGCAGGAGCTTGGGCTAAAAACAAGTACTCACCCCATCTCACGGATTTGAACTGCCAACCTTCAGTTCAGCAAGTTCAGCAACCCGTTGTGCCACTGCAATCCGCATAGGCAGAAATATGTTTAGAGACATTTCAGAAATTATTAGAAATTATGTCCTAATCTCAAACCAAAATTCATTTAATGGTCTTTTAGGAAATTCAAGTTTTAAACCTGGGTCACTTGATATAAGATCTTTAAAATCCAATGTAGCAAAACAGAGACTGTAGTACTTTGGGCATATTATGGGAAGGCATATTATGGGAAGGCATGGCTCACTAGAAAAGACAATATTGATCGGGAAGTCAGAAGGCAATAGGAAAGGAGAAATGCTGCAATATAGAAGGATGAAATCAATAAGGGAAGCCACAGCCCTGAGTCTGCGAGATCTGAGCAGGGCTATATTAGGAAGGGTGGCCTGGAGGTCTCTCATCCATAGGGTTGCCATAAGACAACATCAGCCCAGGACAATGGTTCTCAACCTGTGGGTGCCCAGGTGATTTGGCCTACAACTCCCACAAATCCGAGCCAGTTTACCAGCTGTTAGGATTTCTGGGAGTTGAAGGCCAAAACATCTGGAGACCCACAAGTTGAGAACCACTGCTTTAGGACCTCATCACAAAGGCTTGTTTGGTTTGTTGTGGAAACAAGGATGGGCAAGAAAACTTCAATGGAGACCCCTTTTCCCCATGATAACTCTTTCAGGGGTGAATTTCCCTTCCTAGGGGTAGATTTCTCTCACTTCTTGTTGTCTCACCTCAGTTCTTAACTAGGAGTCATATGTAAGTTGGATGTCTGTAACTCAGGACTGGCCTTTCACAGAATGTACCAGGTGCAGAAAACCGGTCCCTACTCTTACTGGTATAACCCATCACTGCTGATGGAAGCTGCATTTTTAACAACTCCAGGTCACTCTCTTCTTTGCCACAAATTCTTGAGCTGCACCTAGGACCCAACTGCGTTGGCCTTTCACATAGTCACCCTCTCTTTCTCTCAGGAACAGAGTGTGATAGAAGCCTGACGGGACCACAGCCAAAAGAATGGGTAAAGTTTTTCTGTGAAGGAGGTCCTGAAAGTAAAGAGAGGTTTGGAGTCCTGTGCATCAGAGAATGTTAATCGGCCTCCTTCGTAGTCCAACCTCACAACTATCCTGCGGGTCGAGATCTCCGTCTCTTCTTTGGAGGCTGGTGTTACTGGAAAGAGTTGGCAGGGGCCAAGCTCCACAGCCCAAATCCCACATTCTGGTTGAAGCACCACTGGCTTCTTCCTATCCACAGATTCCTGCGCAACCCCTAGGGCCCAACCACATTGGCCTTTCACATCCACCAGCCAATGGTGACGGCCTCCTGTGAAACCTTCAGAGCCCAGGACACAAAAAGAAGGGTAGAATCTTTTGGAAGTGTTGCAATGAGTTGGGCAAATGTCCCTGCGACTTGCAGTCCTCCGGTTGGCTGAAATAACCAGGCTGGGGTGAGCCGAATCAGGATCCAAGGTCAAGATCTCTGTAACAGAGGATACCGAGCAGCAGGATGAATAAATTCCATTCCTGTTATATTTACCTTCCACATTCACTAGGCTAGGGGCACTGGGCACCCACAAAACTGAAAATTGATTAATAAAAAATCACTACTTTAGATGACAACTATTATTATTATTATTATTATTATTATTATATCCTACTTTTTCTCTCTTAAAAGAGGCTCAAAGCAGCTAACAATTCTAAAAACAAAACAATGTATAACACTATGTAACACTTTTTTTGTTCCTGGGTTATAAAGGTCATTTCCCAATTGATTATATCATAAAACATGGAAAAAAATTACTAAACTGCAAAAACTTTGTTTTTGTAGGACATTCCGCAGCACATTTTTCTCTAGTTTTTCAATGAATATCTCACCGGGTCTCAACCAATTCAACGTAGTTCATGGTAGTGACAAAAACGAAGTTTCTGGAGTATAACAACTACTTTCAAAGTAAGTACCACATAATTAAACGGGAATAACACTTTCAAACCAGGAACAGATTTTTTTTTCAAATGTTGTAATAATAATGGTGATTGGCACACTGGATGTAGTGCCTAAAGACCTTGGTCTGCACTTAAACACAATTGGCGCTGACAAAATTAGCATCTGCCAGCTACAAAACGCCACCTTACTGGGATCTGCCAATACATCACACAGTCCTAGACACTTGGGAAGTGTCCAACGTGTGATCCAATACATATGGGATTGGAGGAACGGAAGTGGAGAGCGACCAATGGGGGCCTTCCTAGACCTTCGCCCCTGCGAAGCAGAATGGAACATTCCACCCCCTCCCCCCCCCCCCATCTCCGACCCCCCCCAACATGACACCCGTGTGGTGAGACGAGGCGTTGAGTGCGCACCCTTCTGATAGACCGGTCCTTTAAACAGAGGTGGAGCGTGGCATTCCCCCGCCTACGCGCGCCCGTGTAGGAAGTGTTTGCATATCTATTTTTTGCCTCGGCTCTCCCTCTCCCTCCGGGGGGGTGGACATGGATTGGCTAGAGGTCTTCCCCAATCAAGATTCTATTGTTGTTATTTTATGGACCTCGTATTGAGACCATACTCGTGTCGGATCTGACTGCAGAATCACATTGGAGAACCTGGAGTATCCTAGAGAAGTGCTCTCTATATGAATCGCTAGATCCTCCAGCAAGACTGAAGTTGCTCTAGAGATTCCCAGACATAACATTTTAATCAGATCTGTGAAGCATCAAATCCACAAAAGTCAAACTTGGAACTGCCAAGAACCAAATGCACTTCCCACCATTCCTCAAATGAGTCCAAGGTGGTTCTACTTTTTTAAAATTTTATCCTCATAAGCTTCTGAGGGAAGTCAACATGAGAATGGGTAACTGACCCAAGGTTGCCCAGCACGTCTCATGGATTTGTGGGGATCTCAACTCAGATTTCCCAAGTCCCATTCCAGCCCAGCTCTCCAACCATTATGCTACACCAGACTGGCACTCAGGAAGACATGGTATGACTAACCTCGCATCTCAGTCATGTGCTCCCAGAGAACTGTCTTCTTATGGGAAAAATGAGAAAGCCTCTCTTCCAGTTCTGTTGTGGACACTGGTGTCCACTTTGGAAAGCTCCAACTTTTATACCTTCAGTGAGAAAGAAAAGAGACAGAACAGTCATCAGCAGTAGATACCGTATCCTCATTTTCTCTGTATTTCTGAGTGGATTGAGGCCAGATGAGCTATAGAAGCCCAGAGGTCTAACATACAATTCGTTCATTCATCCTTTTTGTGTAGTGCTTTTCCTCCTGTGGTCTCAAGGATAATTATATGACTTTCCTACTTTCCACTTAGTTCACACAAAACCACTAAGAGATAGGCCAAACAGACTGAAAGAGGCCAAAGGTCACCCAGTGAATTTCATGTCTTAAGTAGGAAACACAATCTTTCTTTTTTCTTTTTTCTTTCTTTTTTTTTTTTTTTTGTGTTCCCTGGATATAGAAAGAAGAGTATCACATAAGTAGCTCTCCCCAGACTGGTCACATTGTCTGAATGCCCAGTCACTATGTCCCAAAGCAGTTACCTTATTCTGGCAAGAAGAATACAATAAGTAAGGAAATATTTGCTAATCTTTCACCTAAAAATCGTTACTTTGAGGTGATTGCTGCTCTCTGCCTAATGGTATTGCTGGTTGTAGTGGAAAACCTATTGATTTGCCCAGCCCACCTAGATTTTGCATGCCAGACTTTTCAAACATATTGATAGCCAACATGATGCCTTTTGAATTATAATTCCAATTGCCAACAGTGAAGAATTATAGGAGCCGTAACCCAAATATCAAATACTGATGCCAGAATCATTCATACCAGAATATTTTTCAATATCTATGTACTTGTGAAGGCTGGACGATGAAGAAAATTGCCAGGAAGAAAGTCAACCTTTTTGAAATATGGTCCTGGAGGAGAATTCAGTGGATAGTATGGATTACCAAAATAACAACAAACAAATGAATAGGTCCTATAGGGCCAAAATAACCTAACTGTACCAACTTCTGTCTGTTATTGGAAGCTGAGTAGGGTCAGTCATGCTTAGAAGGGTGGTATACAAATATGGTAAATAAATAAATTCTTGAATGGTAGACCAAGAATGAATACCCGGTGCTATAAGCTAGATTTCAGATGAAGGAGCTGGCCAAACGCCCTCTGAGGATTCCTTGCCTTAGAAAACCATTTGAAATCTAGGGGGTCACCATAAATTGGCAGGCAAATTCAAGGCACATACAGAGAGAGAGAGAGAGAACAAATGGAGCTTGAATTCTTACTAAAGAGCCAACACAACACATTGGAAGATATAATAATGCTAGCTAAAGTGGAAGGCAGTAGGAAAAGCAACTGGGGAAGCCATGAGCCTGAGTTTTTAAGACCTGAACAGAGCTGCTGATGAGAGTGGCTCTTGAAGGCCTGTAATTCAGAAGTCAACTTGATGGCACATAACAAAAACAAAGTCAAAACCATCCATAGGTCATTTACCATATATACCCATGTATAAGTCGGCCTCTTGTCAAGGGAAGGTTTTAGGGCCATAACAATGGATTTTGGTATGGATTTTGGTATGACTTGTGGATAAGTCATGCCAAATAATGCAACTTCAGGAGGACAGTTGCCCTTAGCCACAGGCACTTCCCATCCAAGGCATTCAAAAATATCAGAAGCAACCATGGTGGAGAAAGTATAGACTGTTGTGCTTCTTTTACCCTTTCCCAGGATGGACTGAGTTCTTACGTTTTGCCATCCGAATCCGAGAAGGGTATGGGTATGTGTGTGTGTGTGTATCACAAACCTGGGGCAACTCATCTATATGTCAATATCAGTATTATACCCAAATTCTTTCCATATATATATATATATGAGAGAGAATTCAGGTATAGTATTCATATTGACATATAGATAAGTTGCCCCAGGTTTTAAATAGATTTTTGACCAAAAAAATTGACTTATGCATGAATACATAGGGTAGGGTGCCTATTCCTGCTCTTGTAACTTAAACAATGAAACAGAAAGAATCAATTTTTTTAAAAGGTCAAAGCCAAGCAATTGCCTACCTGTTTAGGTAGCTTTCAACATCCTAAAAAAGAGATGGGGGAAAAGCAGAGATGTGAGAAACAGGAATTCCCAAAGGGTAGATAAACAGGTCAAAAGAAATGGGATGATGCCGTGGACTAAAACTTCCACAATGCACCAGAACTACTGAAGTGCTACCACTTCTTCTACTGGAAGAGAGCATGTGTGTCTTGAAAAAAAATCTGAGGTAGTGGAAAGCAATGCAAAAACATTTGCTGCTCAGATAGCCAGAGAGTTGTAACCAAGAAGGGCTTGCAACCTTTCACTATACTATTGGAAATACTGGGAATTTCTCCTTTGTGGACAGCCTTTACTCCCATCAATATCTGTACAGTGGGCCCTTGGTATCCACTGGGGTTTGGTTCCAAGATTCCTCAATGGATACCAAAATCCATATTCAGTTATATACAATGGTGTAGTAAAATGGTGTCCTCTATATAAAATAGCAAAGTCAAGGCTTGCTTTTTGCATTTTCTTTTAATATTTTCAATTTGTGGATGCAGATCCCATGGATACATAATAACAACTGTGTTATCATCTGCTTGGGCCAGAAATGAAAAGTTTTGGGAAAACTCAAAAAAGTTCATTTTGAACTACAATTTGCCAGAATTCCTCAGCAAAAGCTGGCCATGCTGGTTGATGAGTATGGGATTTGTATTCCAATTGTAATTTTACTCATATCTCTTTATGGGTAAAATAAATAAATAAACACACACAGACTCCCCCTTCTTGGCCATCTAATTTTACCTTGAGGAACTCGGTATCTGATTGTTGACACTTTTGCTCGAGTTCCAGGATCAATCCTTGTAGAAGTGGAGCTCCCTGCTGAATCTTGCTCTCATTCTCCCGCTGCATTTGCTTCAAGTCATTGCTGACTTTGGACAGCCCTTGAAGGAGAGAGTGCTCCCTGTCCTGAAGGTTTTTCCTTAATTCCCGGAATACAAGGGCGGTTCGTTGATATTCTGCTTCTGCACGACTCTACAGAGGAGGTAATGTCAGACATTGTCTTATGTTTGGAATCCGCCCAAAGAGACAGAGCAGAATATACGAGGGGCCTTGGCAGAAAAAAGTAATGCCTCCACCTTCGTAACTCCTCAACAGATGGCAGTACTGGTATGCGGGGTACTGGCTTGTTCAGTAGACTCTACTCTACAGTTCCATTTTGGCGGGAAGCCTTAGCATTGAACGGTTGTGTTGTTAAAGTGCGAAATATGGGACCCTACGCAGACGGTTGGTCCTTGCGACTTAAGCAACGCAGTCATTGAATTCTTGAAAGCAAAAGGTGTCACCCCAAAGGAGATTCATCAAAGAATGCAAGCTGTTTATGGTGATTGTGTTGATGTGAGTACTGTGCCTCGTTGGGCAAGTAAGTTTAAAGATGTTGTGGTGACACCTTCTGCTACCAAGAATTCAATGACTGCACGCTGCTTAAGTCACATTGACCGACCGTCTGTGCAGGGTTCCAAACTTCGCACTTTAACAACACCACCATTCAATTCTAAGGCTGTCATGTCCTTCACCCTCTGAATAGCTTTGCCACAGAATGAGAATTTCCTCAGTGCTACACACTAGCTCTAGTCATTCTATTGTGATGTGCTGTGTTATGTTATATATGTGTGTGAACTACAACAACAAGTACTACTATTCCCATAATCTCTAAATACAAAAAAAATGGAAGTACAGCTTCTAAAGAAGCCATTTTCTAATGTTATTCTGTACTCACACAGTTCTGGATCTTCAAATTCCATATAATCACGAAGGTTGCATAATTCCCACCTCTGTGCTAAATGATGCTATTATAAAATACAAGCAGGATCTCTATTTTAAGGACTGTCTCTCAATTGCGAACTGACCCAGGCTTGACAATGACAAGAGAGGCGGGGACACTTACCACCAGCATTTCCAGTTTCTTCCCTTTGTTTATTGCAAGGATCTCTCTGCTGTCTCTCTCACTTTTCAGTGTGGCCAAGTGGTGCTGAAACTGCACCTGCCAAAAGCAATATACAGAGGGAAATAATGCATGATTTTTTTTAATTTTTCTGTTTTTTTCATGACAAAATGTAATATTGGACAAACTGAAGTAATAGCCTCAGGAAACATATTGTTTTTATAATCAAGGTGGTCAGTTACAACATTCACACCTAGCTCCAGCAGACAAGAGTTCTTTGCCCCACCCTGGTCATTCCACAGATATATAAACCCATCTTCCTAGTTCCAACAGACCTCACTACCTCTGAGGATGCTTGCCATAGATGCAGGCGAAACGTCAGGAGAGAATGCCTCTAGAACATGGCCATATAGCCCGAAAAAACCTACAACAACCCAGTATTCAAAGTGTTATTCAGTTGAAAGCCATTGTTTCGCGTCCTAGTCTCCAGCACAGCAGAAAACAAGCTTGCTCCCTCCTCCCTATAATTTCCCCTCATATATTTATACATGGCTATCATGTCTCCTCTCAGCCTTCTCTTCTGCTGGCTAAACATCCCCAGCTTTGATTGGGAAATGCTCTGAATGGCAGAATGGGGTGGACTGGAAAGCTTTTGAAGGTCTCTTCCAACTCTATGATTCTACGTTTTCCCCCTCTCCCACATTGACGTACACAAGTAGGGATGCCATTTTAATTACAAGGAAGTGACAACAGAAATCAAGACTGTCCTGAGCAAATGCGAGATCAGTATAAACAGCACCTGCAGGCTGTATTTTCATGGGGTTACCTTGTACTCCTCAGCTGCCTCCTGCACAGGGATCACTGTGTGGCTCCTGTGCTCTTTAGACCTGTCGCAAACCACACAGATCAGGGCCCCGTCATCCTTGCAGAATAACTTCAGTGCCTCCAGGTGCTGCTTGCACATTTCTTCTCTGGCAACAGGCCGCGGCTTGTTCCCAGCCCTCAGAGGCATTCTTGGCAGGACTGTATCCCTGGCTGCCAGCTCTTTGGCTCTCTCGGCCACTTTCCCCAGCTGCGCATTAGGCCTGAGTTTCCCTCTGCGGCACCTCTTCCTGCATTGTGGGCATGGAAAGCTGTCGCCCAGGCTGTCCCAGTAAGTGCTGATGCAGGCTCTGCAAAAATTATGTTCGCAGTTCAGGATCACCGGCTCGGTGAAGTAATCCAAGCAGATGGGGCAAAAGAGCTCTTCTTGCAGAGCGGTAGCATAATTTGTAGCCGCCATTACTGAGTCGAGGAAGAAGTGAAATGAAAAGTTGTGCAACAAGGAAGCCCCTCCAGGAAAAAAAAAAGGTAGGCGTGGAAAATGCAAAAAACAAAAAACCAACATCCTATGCAATAAAAACATATATGTTGGAGTTATACTTTAAAAAGGTACCTGTTCTGATTTACAAAAAAATTCACTTAATAATAATAATAATAATAATAATAATGACACTTTATTTGTACCCCGCTACCATCTCCCCAGGGGACTCGGTGCGGCTTACATGAGGCCGAGCCCAAATATAACAATACAAGCAATAAAACAACACAAGTAATTAAAATAAAAAACAAAAAACATAGACAATAAAATATACAACATTACACACAATTAAAAACAGTGGGAAGGCCAAATGTAAAATTAAAATTGGAAGTGATGCTGGGACATGAACGAGAAGGTGATAGTGGTGTTTGTGGAAGGGCATACGAGCAGACCTAAAAAATGTAAAGTGCTTTGGAGGACAAAGTGCTATGGGATCATTATTCTGGGAAGGCACACTGGAACAACCACGTTTTCAAGCTCCTCCTAAAGACTGCCAGAGTTGGGGCCTGCCTGATGTCTTTAGGGAGTGAGTTCCAGAGTCGAGGGGCCACCACCGAAAAGGCCCTCTCTTTCATCCCCACCAATCGCGCCTGTGATGCTGGTGGGATCGAGAGCAGAGCCTCTCCAGATGATTGAAGAGATCATGTGGGTTCGTACACAGAAATGCGGTCACGTAGGTAGGCGGGTCCCAAACTGTTCAGGGCTTTGTAGGTAAGAACCTGCACTTTGAATTGGGACCGGAAAATGAACGGCAGCCAGTGGAGCTCCTTAAACAGGAGGGTTGACCGCTCCCTGTAAGGAGCCCCAGTTAACAACCTGGCTGCCGCCCGTTGGATCATCTGAAATTTCCGGGCCATTTTCAAGGGCAGCCCCACATAGAGTGCATTGCAGTAATCCAGTCTAGAGGTGACTAAGGCGCGGACCACCTTGGCCAGATCTGCCTTCCCGAGGTACCGTCGCAGTTGACACACAAGCCCTCCCGGCCACCACTGACACCTGAGCCTCAAACGTAAGTGAAGAATCCAGGAGGACCCCCAAACTGCGAAACTGTGATTTCAGGGGGAGTGCAACCCCGTCTAGCACAGGTTGCCATCCTACTTAAGAAAGAATAAGCCTACAGAACCCATCTTGTTTGTAACTTGGGGACTGACTGTACCTGTATTTGCATCTAGGTACATAGTGAGAGATCCTAGACATGGAACCCAAGTCTAAACATGACATTAATTTATGTTTCTTAAACACTTTATTCTGCATCCATGGATTCCAGCATTCATGGTCTGAAAATATTTTTAGAATATCCCAAAACAAACCCATCCTAGTTTTCATCCTTGTCTGCAAGGGCCATTTAAAACACAACTAGTTTGCTTGTTTTGTGCCTTTGTGTGCGTGTTTATGGCTTCCACTCGCCTGTGCACTTATGGCAACTCAAATATTTAATAGGATTTTCTTAGACAAAAACTAAAAACTCAAGAGATAGGTTGATGTGAGTTTTCTGGGCTGTATGGCCATATTCCAGAAGCATTTTCTCCTGGGTGTCCCCCCCCCCCCCCACGAAGGTTTGTTTATTTCTCTGTCTATCTACGAGTTCTCCCTTACAAACAGTTCTGCCCCTTTATTTCACTCTGAGTTTTAAATCATTTTATGTACATGCGGCCCACTCTCTGTCATTATGTTTGGTTTCTATGTTTTGGTTATATTGTTTATATGCTTTGATGTTTTATACTTTATTGTTATGTTGTTTATTTTATTGCAATTTGTATTTTTGTATTGTAATTTGTTGTTTGGGCTTGGCCCCATGTAAGCCGCTCCGAGTCCCCGTTGGGGGAGATGGTGGCGGGGTATAAATAAAGATTATTATTATTATTATTATTGTCTAGAAGCATTCTCTCCTGACATTTCACCTACATCTACGGCAGGCATCCTCAGAGGTTGTGAGGTTTGTTGGATGCTAGGCAAGTGGGGTTTATATACCTGTGGAATGATGTCCAGGGAGGAAGAAAGAACTCTTTGTCTGTTGGCGGGAGGTGTGAATTTTTTTTTGTCGTGTTAGGAGACACTTGAGAATCTGCAAGTCACTTCTGGTGTGAGAGAATTGGCCGTCTGCAAGGACGTTACCCAAGGGACAGATGTGGGCAAAATATCAGGAGAGAATACTTCTGGAACATGACTATACAGCCCGGAAAACTCACAGCAACCCAGTGATTCCTGCCATGAAAGCCTTCGACAACACTCAAGAGATGTTTTTGCCATTTCATTTTAATAAAGTATATACATTTCAAACCATCGAATATCTCACTTCAAGTTCTGGTAACACATGCCTTTTTTTCAAAGTCAGGATCTTTCAAATCTGTATCATTAATATGACCAGCCAATGGTCCTTTGTGTAATTTTTCTCCAAATGAAGTATTTCAACAATTCCTGGAGTACAACTCATGCAAACTTTGATATAATATACTGAAACCTTCCCAAAAGCTTTTTTGATGCTCTCACAAGAGCAAAGCTCCATGATTAGGTGAACCGTTGACAAGTGGCTGCAAACCGGAATTATATATACACAGTGTGTGAATTCATCACTTGAGAAGAATCAGGCAGAATGCAGAGAGAATTTTAATATCTGACGCTATATCTTCCAAGAAATATGAATAATATGTGGCTTTCCTGAGTCAAAAGAGTGACCACTACTGGTCAAACAGGAGTTTTTATACCTTCTTATGGCTCTCAACCCTTGCAACCGAGTTGAACTTTGCTACACAGAAATATCCCTTTTATGGAAGTGCTATGTGTTTTGTTGCAACTCTGCATAAAGAGGTTTCTAGAATTTAGCTGTTGACTCCCAATGGCCAAACGAAGCCAGTACACACTGATCTCAGCAGATGAGCTCCATCACAAAATGTGTTGCTTCAGGACTCTATGAACTTTCCAGGAGTTTCCCCAGTGCTTGGTCTCTACCGTCTCAGAATGTATCCAGTTATCTGGAATACATTTAATTCTGCTGGTTCTCATTACTCGTTCCTATCCAAAGGCAATCTTTACTTCATAGTCATCTTCTGAAAGGTTGTTACAGCCTGTTCCACCTTCTCCAACTCTGAGCGAAGCAAGGAGATCTGTGAGGGAAAGGTTCAGATTAAGTATACAAATAATGAGTCACTGGATGACTTCTCCATGTTGTGATGGCCTGTGATTCAAATATCTTCTGGAATAATTTTTAAAAAATCTTTGGAAATATCTCTATAGCAATTGTGGTTAACCCTTTTTAAGATCATAGATCCTTGCAAGGTACTAAAATCTATAGTACACCTCACCAACAAGAACATCATGGTAATCATTACGACAGCAACAAACGCACACACACTAGCGAATTTGCATCCTGTGCAACTCTACAGATGTTTGGAGTTAAGCAATACATTAA